GATCCGTTTCTTCTGTGGGTTGACGTGACCAGAAATTTCCAGCTTGACTTTATGGACTGTTAAACTTTTTAGAATATGATGTAAGATCCTAGTTACAGATTCAACTGAAAATAATAGTAGTAATAACAGCAACCAAAAGTTGCAGGACCTTTATCATATGCCAGGAACTGTGCTAAACTCTTTCCATGCATTTCATGTTCATTACCGTCCTAAAATATCGATACTGTTATATGCCCATTTTACAACTAAGATACTGAGGATTTAGGTAACTTCCTTTCCCAAGGCCACATTGCCAGCCAGTAAGCGACAGGCACAGCCAGGAGTTGGCAAGGGCATGATGGTTAAGAGCAGAATCAGCAGACTCTGTAAAGAGCCAGACAGTAAATATTTTAGGCCTTTGCAGGCCATTTGATCTCTGCAGCAAAAACTCAGCTCTGCCGTTGGTGCACAAAAGCAGCCATAGACGCGCATTTACAAATGGGCAGGGCTGTGTGCCAATAAAACTTTATTTACAAAATAAGTACTGTGCTGGATTTGACATTGCTATACCGTTTCTTCCAAGCTGTATCGTATTGGACAATTTATCCAACTTCTCTTTCACCTCAGCTTCCACATCTAAAAAGTGAGGAAGATAATAATCATAATACCTAGCTCATAGGGTTATTTGGAGGAGTAAATGGAAGCTGCATACGAAGCAGTTGTTTCTGTTATCACTGCTGTTGTGAGAGGCAGTAGCGGAGAGAGATGAAGAACAGTTCCTCCTGGGCTTAAACTTCATCTTTCCCACTTGCCAGCTGAGTGATCTTGGGCGTGGTACTTAACCTCTCTGAGTCTCAGACTCTCCTTTTGTAAAGTGGAGGATAATAAGAGGACAAATCTCACAGGATAGTTGGAGAGATTAAATGAATTTACCACGTGCAAAGTGTCTAGAACAACGCCTTGCACACGGCAAGCACTTCAGAGGTGCTTGCTTGATTATTGTTATTGAAGAATCAACCTCTAAAGCTGAGTGAGCCTGGCCTCCAATATCGTGCTCTTGCCCACTGCCAGCTCCCGCAGCGGTTTTCAACCATTTTGGACTAGCGACTGACGCCCTTGGCAATCTGGTAAAGACTATGGGCCCCTTATCATAATACTGTTTTTAAATTCATAAAATAAAAATATAAAAGATTACCAGAAAACCCCAATTATATAGAAATACAGTTACCAAAATATTTTTTTAAAGAGCGAATTTTGATGTAGTTATATACGTACTCCTCTATTAACATGTTAGATAACATGATCTAACATCAGGATGCCTAAAAACTACTATAATTTTGACATCATCATAAATGTCAGTGATATTTCAGTATCTCTGCAAGAGCTGAAATGTGATATGAAGATATCTGTGATTCACACTGGTGCTGAAGTCACGTATCCTGTGATTTGGTGCCAGCATTTGTAAATGAAGAAATGCTAAATTTCAGGTAAAGGTTGGTGAAAAGTTAAAGAAAATTTTAGGGCTGGCCCTGTGGTGTAGTGGTTAAGTTCTTGCACTCCGCTTCAGCTGCCTGGGGTTCACAGGTTCGGATCCTGGGCATGGACCTAGCGCCGCTTGTCAAGCCGCACTGTGGAGGCATCCCACATAAAACAGAGGAAGATTGGCACAGATGTTAGCTCAGCAACAATCTTCCTCAAGGAAAGGAAAAAAGAGAAAGATTGGCAACAGATGTTAGCTCAGGGCCTATCTTCCTCACAAAAACTCCAAACAACAACAACAACAAAACAACAAAAAAAGAAACAAAAAAAAAATTAAAGAAAATTTTAATTCACATTCATAAGATGCAAGAAATAGAACCATTGAGATCCACAGGCTCCCAGGCCAAGAAGCCCTGTGCCCACCGCCGCCAGAGGAGCCATCGTAACGTAATAACAAAGCTGAAGGGCACGGGTTCTCAGGGCGCTGGATGTTCCGTGCGTCTTGATGTTGCAGCGCACACACATAGATTAGGTTTGGCAGAACAGGCGTCCACAAAGAGAGCAAACGCTTCCTGTGCCTATGCAATCATGAAGCATTCATCCACTGGTACGTGAGCAAGAAATCAGGAACTGTGCGGTCCCCTAATTTGATGCCCAACGTGGAAAAAGATTGTCATTGGGACTAAGCCAGCGAGAGGTAATGGAAACATGATACCACTGACCTCATCCCAAAAAATAGCTGTTGTCACAGGACAGAGATGCTGAATATTTGTAGGTTTGGGGAGAAATATATTTGTTAGTGAAATGGAGCTTACTGTGGAGTGAGTAAAGGTGAATTATTTGTCAGACGACTGGAGGAGGTTTATGCAATATAGTATTATTGAGCGGGGCTATTAACGGAGTGAATTGCTATTGTGACATGCCATTAAATTGTTTTTAGTGTCCACAAAGGTATCATTCAGGAGCTGGCAGGGTTACTAACAGAGTTGTATTTTTGGTGGACAGCAGCAGATCTCGAAACAAAATAGCATATTTTATAGAAAAGTGAAATATGGGCAAAGCCAGAAGTCTGTAGACAATAGAGTCTGGGGTCGTCATTTGCAGCTACTTGGCAAGAACCCCGAGAATCCAGACAAGGCTCTCTGGATCCCCACTGGATCTGTAGCTGAGGCTGAAATCTGAGCAATGCATCAGGAAGGGGAAGTGAGGAAGTGAGACAAAGAGAGAAAAGAGACATGAGGAGATGTTCTCTACTGTTCGTGAATGTATCCCCAGCATTTAGCAGATGCTGGGTCAGTAATTATTTGGTAAAAAAAAAAAAAAAAAAGGAAAGGAGGCGAGCATGAGGGAGGGAGATGGGTGAGGATCGAGAGAGAACATAATTAGCCATGTGAACTATTTGTGGTATGAACGCATGTGTGTATCCATATGTGCATGAACATCTATTTATTCATTTTTTATTTTTCAACAAATATTTATTGAGTGCCTACTAAGTGTCAGCCCATGTGCTAGGTACTGAAAATGTTTGTTAAATGAGACAGAAAAGATCCAGCTCTCAGATGACTTAACATCCAAGAGAAGGATTCAGAGAATAGACATGGAATCAAAGAAGCTTATTTTAAGATAGTGTTAAGTGTTATAAAGAAAACAAACAGAAATCAAAAACACTATAGTGAGGTAGAGGGTAATTAGAAAGAAGGGGCTACTTTGCGTAGGATGGTGACTTTGGAGCTGAGAAATGCTTGATGACAAAGAACTAACCTAACCGTGGAAAGATCAGAGGAGACTGACATTTTATTGAGGGCTTGCTACATGCCAGGCGTGTGCTACGTTCTTTGCATCCATTATTTGATTTAATCTTCACTTCAGCTGTGAAGGAGCGAGTATTTAGAACAACTTCACGAACGACAAGGAAGGAAGGGAGGCTCAGAAAGGCAAAATGACTTGAGCTGGTAACAGACAGAGGCAATATGTAACCCCTGCCTTGTCTGACCCCAAGCCTCAGAGACAACCAGCCCACCATGTCGCTTCAAGAGGAAGGGAAGTTCCTTGTTCATGATCATGCAAATTAGGAAAGAAGACTTTCTAGTAAGGTCTCTGTTCTTCGATTTGCAAATGAGGGTTATTTTTACGCCATATCGTGGCTATTTTCTGGCAGGTCTCCTGGCTTCATTCCTGAAATGTATTGGTAACCCATAGAGTGAATTTCATCTTGAGTCTGTTTCATAAATGACCCTGAAGAAAATGTGCCTCTTGCCCAGATGGAGAAAGAACTGAGTTATCTTCTTAAATTGATAGGGGAGGGGGAATGGGACGTTGACCTCAAGGAAAACAAATTCTTCTATTGAAGAAATTGTCTCAACCCCAGTTAGAACACATTTTCTCATAGCTAAGCTTTCGTGGGCTAAGCCGAGTCAACTGTTAGAAAAACAGTATAATTTTAGCATCAACCCGCCACTGTCTCTCCCACTTGTGTGTGGGTGTTTTGTTTTTCTTGTTTATTTTCTTGTTTGGTACTCACTTGGTCTACCAAGGCCATTGGAGTTCACATTTGTTATTATTGTTCTTTCTTTGTTTTTGTTTACATTTTAAGACAGTAGATTGCTATCAAATGTTGGTGTGTGTATATTAGTGTATCTTAATTGGTTGCCAAAGAAATGCAGCTCAAACCACAAAGTACCGTTATTATCACTATTATTATTTTGGCTGTCAAATCATTAATGTATTTTTATGTCAATATCTAGTATTGGGGGCTTCAAGAGTAATGGTCAGGAGCACTTTCACCTACTCCATGAGAAAGTCCAAACTGGTACCGGTCTCTGGAGAACAATTTGACAATATCTCAACTGCCTCTGAAGGAACGTGGCCTGTGACACGTAATTCCTCTTCTAGGAATTTAATAGAAGGATCTCCACACTGAGATATATGTAAAATTATCTCCGGTGAAGTATTTGTAACACAGGGAAAAATTAGAAGCAACTGTAATGTCCAAGAATAAGGGGTTCATTATCTTCAAAAATGGTAAAACTGCACGGTGGATTATCACCCACCATTAAAAATCCATGCCCATAAAGAAAAAGGTTCCCAATATAGTAAGTAGGGTGAACAAATGGCAGATTATAAAACAGTATGTACATTATGATTCTGTAATATACCACATCCACTTACCGCTATAGTGTATCTATAGATAGATGTAACTATAGATAGAGCGGTAACTGTGACATTAGTTTATTAAGTAATATTGTTATATGATCATGATATTATTTATCATAGGGTTAGTTTTCTTTATATTTTCTTATTCCACATTTTCTACATGGAAGGTGATTTATTGTTATAATCAGGAAAAACACACACACACAGACACACGTGAGTGAAGGTTGGTGTTTAAGTCCGGCCTTTGGTCTACTCAGTGCAGCTCTGGCGTGTGCCCTCACCTTGAGGGCCTTGGCCCTCTGTTGGGTGGTCCCTCCACCCCAGCTCTGACTCTGGGCATCCTTCCGCTCACCTTTTGCTTTTCAGCCCAAATCCCTAACTTGACTTACCAGGTTCTCCGGTATATGTTGTGTTACCAAGACCTCGTCAACAGTTTCAGAAAAGCTCAGTGCTCGCTTTGTACTCATTTCCTCCTTGGAAGGGAAGCCGACAAAGAAACGTAGAGAAATGTAGTCCTGCTTCTTGTTAACTCCCCTCAGGGGAAGAGAGCAGTAGCAAAAAAGAAAAGAAAGTGTGTAGCTCTGTTTGGTTGACCGTGTCTCGAGATGTTTACTTGTTACTGTGGTTATTCACTTCGTAACACTGGCTGCTGGGAGTTTCTCCAGGTAAGCCTCAAGAAGCGGGTGTGTGTATCGTATGTGAATCTGTCTCAATGAAGCTGGAAGGAAAAGAAAGAGTTATGGGGCAAGGCAGAGCCAGAGCCAAAGGTGACGTTGCTTGTTTCCTTTTTCAAGTCACAGAGTTGACCGATTTCAGAGGAATTTATATGTTGAAGAGCAGCGAAGTTAGTGGAGAAGATCTCAGGTTCTGGACTCAGTAACTTGATTTGAACAGAGGCCCTGCCTTCATCAACTTTGCAACCTTGCACTGAGGCAGTGCAATTTACCAATTAAAACATGCTCTCAGCAGCCAAACACCCAAATTCTAATCTCAGCTTGGGAATTCCTAGCTGTGTGACTTTAGGAAAGTCACTTACAGTCTCTGAGCCTCCACTATTCTATGCATGCAAAATGGAGGAAATGCTCTTTTCTTCTGCAGGATCAGTAATATCATATATTAAGGCCCTGACATATAGATGATGCTCACTAAGCAATGACTAAGATTGTCACTTTGGAGGATAACGATTTTATTCTATTTATGCATCTTGCAAAGAGGGAGAAGAACAAGGGGAAGAGAGAGAGGAAAAGATAAACCAGATTAAGATGTTTATAGTGGTCCCTCCAAATCGAGGCCGCCTGCACGTTTGGGGTTGTTATGTGTTTTGTTTTTTGTGGAACACAAGGATGTTACCAGGACATCTGTGTAGGCATGTGTGTGCTCCTCTCCATATTGGATTACATGCTTTAGGACAATAAATCAGTGAAAGAAAAGTAATAAATAATGCATGCTGAAAATGTGATCATGTTTATTAAGAAGCAACAGCCTTGTCATCTTCATTTTCTTCTTCGGTGATTCTCTTCTCTGAGGATTTGCTCCTCAGGGACTCCCTGCAATTTAGCTGGAGGCCATTCTCTAATTCTTGTTTGCAAAAATACCTGCTTAGCAAAAATAAGTTAAAAGCTGAGCATCCGGGTCCTCTGATGAGGCTCTCATCAAATCCAGTGCATCATCGGAGATGGCTTCCCCGCTGTGACACTTGGGGAGAAATGAATCTGCTAGCTTCACATCTGCCTGTTTTGTGCTTTCCCACACTCTGTGTTCTCGCTCCAGTCTTTCCGCAGAGAGCTTTTAAGAAGTCTCGCTAGGCTTCTGGACTTTGGAAAAGAAAAAAAAAAATACCAAAGAAACTTTCGTCTTCCTAGTAATTTACAGCTGCTAAACAATATGTTGACATTAGTGCGTTGTGACGTCCAAGGACCTTAATTGGAGTTGTATTTTAATCTGTTACTCTTCACCCATTTGCACTTGAATGACCCTGAAAAAAAAAAAAAAAAGGAGGGGAACCACACTGGCAACCTCTGTCTTCCAGGGGTGGGAAACACAACTTTACACAGTGAAAGCAGAGTGAGCATGTTGCAGACTGAGAGTGGAAGAGAAAGAGAGAGGGAGGAAGTGAGATTGAGAAATTGGAGAGAGAGAAAGAACAAAAAAGGAGGGAAAGAGAGGGCAAGAGAGAAGGAGAGAAAAAGAGAATAAAGAATGAACTTGCACGGGGTAGTCGGGAGCAGCCTGGCTTGAGTGAAGGCACCCTTGACATGTTCTCTGGCCTCAGTCTTCCCTTGCTTTTCGGAGAATGGAATGATAAATCAGACCTGGGTAGCAACTGTTCTGCCCCTCTCATGAGTTAGTGTCAGTAGAACACCCTTCGCTCAAATGTCTTGCTTTCGGTGTCCTGGTTTCTGAGCAGGGGTTCCATCTTTTGAGAATGGCGCTACCTTGAGGTTTAAGGCAAGGGTGGGCTTAAATGTCTTGAAATACCTTGAGTCCTCCCTCGCAATCCAGAAGACTTCTGTTGTTCTTTCTGCCCCTCCTTATTTTTTGTTATCCTCGGGTACAGAAATTCACCTCCCTAAACTCTGATCTTAAAAAAATCAGACGGGCCGGCCCCATGGCCGAGTGGTTAAGTTCTCGCACTCCGCTGTGGCAGCTCAGGGTTTCACTGGTTCGGATCCTGGGCGCAGACATGGCACCACTCCTCAGGCCACGTTGAGGTGGCCACATGCCACAACTAGAGGGACCCACAACTAAAATATACAACTATGTACTGGGGGGATTTGGGGAGAAGAAGCAGAAAGAAAAAATAGATTGGCAACAGTTGTTAGCTCAGGTGGCAATATTAAAAAAAAAAAAAAAAAATCAGAGTCCCCCCCTACTCCCATTTCTCTCTCCTTCTATTGATTATTTCTAATTTTTTCCTATTCTCTATTTCTCTCTAGCCCCCTCCTAGTGCCATGTCCTCAACCCAAGACCTGCCTCATCTTGCATCAGGTGTATGTGTTATAATGCTTTATCACTGTGTGCCAAACTCAGAGTGATTTACACAAACTCACTAAATAGTAGATTACTTGTGTACAGAATCCATGCTTAATTAGCTTGTCCTCACATTAAATATTTATTGGGATTTTATGCTCACTCCAATTTGCCTCTGAAATCCACTTTCGCTTTATTTTTCGACTCGTCACTTCCCTCATTCCCTCCCTTCCATCCTTCCTCCCTTATTCTCTTTCCAACACTCATTTTGTACCTTCATTGTGCATATCTCTCTCCGTTGCCCTCTCTCTTTCCTTTGTCTCCCTGCCCCTGCTAACATGTGATTATGATACAAAAGCAGTAATCCATGATTTTTATATCATTCATTGCATTGCTCGCCTGGCCTTCTACTTCCCTCCTGGGTGTGAGTCCAGCCCCAGAACTCCTTGATGAGCGCCCACGCTTTGAGCCCTTAGATTCCAAGTTGCTCACCTTCTTCCAACTGGGCTTCATTTCCTTCTGTTTTGACCACCATCATTGTTGACTTCGACGTGACCCCCATTTGTTTCTCAACTTGGTCCTGTCAGCCAGAAGCTCTGATCTGCTGCTTCCTTGCCTTTGATGTGTCTCCATTTCCTGTAATTAATCTCTTTTTTCCCATAGCCCAGCAGCTACATGGACAGCCCTAAGGATAATGTACCCAGTTTGAGCCAGCTCCACTATCTCCCCAACCTGTATCTGTTCCTCATGGTCTGCCACTTTGGTAGACACAATATTGCCCCAGGGGGAGGATGTAGACATGCCATGAAGAAAATGCAACACTGTCTTCTGCTGAAAGAAAGTCAGACTGCCTAAGCGCAAGGTAGTATAAGCAGCAGGTAGTTACATCCTGAATATGGCACTTTGGCAGGTAACTCTATTTAAAAATGTGTATTTTTACATTTTATTTATATTGAGTTCTATGTATATTCAATGTTCCGAGGAAAATCAATAAAAAGCAACCGAACATTTAGCCATTCCAATAAATCCTATCACATTGCCAAATACAGTATTGGGAAAATTGTCCTAACTTTGTAGACCTCACAGTATCAAGGCCAGTAATACCGTGTTCTTAATTTATCTTTATCAACATTCCTGACACTGACGATGGGGCGGATTCAGGACCAAAAGGTCTGTTTAGCCTAACCCTCTGATGACTAGAACAAATAGATTTGAACAGTCTGTCCTCTTAGGACCTTTTATAAGAATGTTGTCCTTGCATTCTTTGATAGATTTGTTTCCATTTTTCTTAAAAAGTTAGTCCCCATGTCTCATAGGCAAGTCCTTGATACTATCTGGCAGCACAGACACCCATGGAAATACTTTGAAAAATTAAAGGCATTCTACTGAGAGGAAAGGTCAGTGATGGCCCCCTCTGGCCTCAGTTTCCTTGCCCGTAAAGTGGGCATGACTCACAAGGCCAGGCTAACACGCGAATTCTGTGCAATGACATAAAGAAGTGCTCTTTAAACCCCAGGACACACTAGCAATGAAGCCATGCTGCTCTTCTCATCTCCATCTGGAAAATGGGGCAAATTATTATCTTTTCTTGAAAACTGTCCACAAGCAGTGTTTGAGTGGATAAGCCAATTAGTGTTAGCAAACCATATTGAGATATTAAATTGGAAGGTTTTGTACCAAAGAAAACAAGATTTTTTTTTCTGACACTGCAGAATTTCCAGTGTTCATTTACCTGGAGCATTACATGTCTCAATAAAGATTATCTGGCGATTTGACACTTCTTCTTCTCTCTGCTTACAAACTGAAATAAGAGGAGCTGGGCATTTAGAAAGGGAAGAGGTTATACATCTCAGAGCTTTTAACTCATCTGTTTATATCTTCCAAATGAGATGCATCCTCTACAAATTACTCCACAACTTGCTTTCCTGCTTGACAGTGTAGTATGGCCATGCTTACAAATCTGTAGCCACGTAGCCATATATGCAACTTTGTGCCATATATGCAACTTTGTGTCTTTATGCACGCGCATGTGTGCATAACTCTACATAATGGATTGTATTATAGTTGCTGCTTTTCTATTTCAGTTGGTCATCTTTTCCCTCTGTTTCGCTTGGCTCTCCCATGCCTGGCCCCACCCCATGCTCACTGTACTCTCCCTACACCACCCATGCCGTAATCCAAATCAACCTGGAGGAACCTTCACTCTTTACTCCATGCTCGTATAATTTATATATGATATCTACACTCTGTTTCTCTCTCAGGTTCACACACACACACACACACACACACACACACACACACAAGTTTTGGCACTGCTTTTTGTTTTCATCTATGTGTGTGAAATGGAACGCATCTTCCAAGAATGAAGACTTTATATTTAGGTTTGGATGCTTTTTATTGTATTTTTTAAGTTATCATATGGTAAAACTGACTTTTTCTGGTGGTGGACAATTCTATGAATTTTAATGCATGTATGGACTTGTACTGTGACCAGGACAGTCAGCACACAGAACAGCTCCATCACTCCAAAAACCTCCCTCCTCTTTCCCTTTAGAGTCACATCCTCCCTCCACCCCCACTCCCTGGAACCCACTGATCTGTTCTGCTTCACTGTAGTCTTTTTGGTACTGTATAGAGATAGACTCCTACAGCAATTAACCTTTGGGGACTGGCTCCTTTCATGCAGCATAATGCCTTTGTGATCCCTGTAGTTTTCACACGTGTCTATCGATTGCTCCTTTTCAATGTTGAGGAATGTTCCGTTTTATGGATGCACCACAATTTGTTGACCCATTCTCCCAAGAGGGAAGACTTTGTCATAGTGCTGGTTAAGTACAGTAGTCCCCTCTTCTCCGCTGTTCCACTTTCCACAGTTTAAGTTACCCGTGATCAACCCAAGTCTGAAAATATTAAATGGAAAATTCCAGAAATAAAAGTTTTGTAAGTTTTAAGTTGTGCACCATTTGAGTAGCATGATGAAATCTTGCACTGCCCCACTCTGTCCTGCCCAGGACATGAATCATGCCTTAGTCCAGCGTGGCCATGCTGTAGACGTTACCTGCCTGTTAGTCACTTAGTAGTCCTCCTGGTTATCAGATGACTGTCGCGGAATCACAGTGCCTGTGTTCAAGTCACCCTTATTTTACTTCATAATGGCCCCAAAATGCAAAAGTAGTGATTCCGGCAATTCAGATACGCCAAAGAGAAGCCATAAAGTGCTTCCTTAAGCGAAAAGATGAAAGTTCTAGACTTAAAAAGGAAAGAAAAAAAATCATATGCTGAGTTGCTAAGATCTAAAGTAAGAATGAATCTTCTATCCATGAAATTGTGAAGAAGGAGAAAGAAATTTGGGCTGGTTTTGCTGTTGCATCTCAAATCTGTATGTATTGGAAAAAACATAGTCTACACAGGGTTCCGTACTACCCGCGGTTTCAGGCATCCACTGAGGGTCTTGGAACATATCCCCTGCCGATCAGGGGGCACGACT